AGGAGTATGTTACCAGTCATTCGGATGAGGCAGTGAGAACAAGACTAGGGAGAAAGAAAAGTTAGGAGTATGTTACCAGTCATTCGGATGAGGCATGAAGGTGACTTAACTAGTAGAGACTGTGATGGAAAATATGGGCAGATATGTGAGATATATAGCATGATGAATCAATAAGTTTGCTTACTGACTGCCATGGAAGTATGTGAGAAAGAGAGAGAGAGAAAGAGAGAGACGACGAAGGTTGATGCTTAGGCTTCTGGCAGAATCAGCTACATGGATCACAGATGGTGCTGGCGCTACAATTCACACAGACAGAAAACACAGGAAGACCACAGAAAGATGAGGGGAAATTTATCAGGGATGTTTCTTACCTGATTTTTGCACATCTTACAGTAGAGAACCAGTACTGATTTAGCTGCGTTTGGAGGGAGGAAATCCCTAAAATCAAAAGGTCTTGAATCTAAATTTCCAGAATCAAAACACGAAACAAACGAATCACTATACACAAAATTGAAAGGTGCACAAACCTGAGTATTCTAATGCATTTTTTCTCTGTGTATTGTCATACTTTATTTGCTTCAGGGCTTCCACCAGCTCTTCGTTATGTTTTTCAGTTTTGTTTTTTAAACGTAGTATATTTTCCTTAAACTCCGAAATATGGTTTCTACAACTAATTAGTTGATTACCTGCAAGGGAAAATATTTATGTACATGTTTATACATGTTTATACATGTTAATACAATAGGTAATAAAAATATAAAATATATGCTTAATATTGGTATATTATATGTAAAAACATGTATATATAATGTGCTACATACATAAAGTACAAATATTGCCTGCATATGTACATATACAAAAACCTGAAAAGAAAGAACAAAATGTTAAAAACAGCAATATGTGGAAGGTGAGATTATTGGTGATTTATTGCTTTATTACTTTGTGCTCTTCTGTGTTTTCCAAATTTTCCATAATGTGCATGTATTACATTTGTGTTAGAGGAAAACTCACAAAAAATTACTTAATATATTATCCAAAGAAAATGACCAGAAATATGTATGCAGGCTTGGCCTCTGGATAGTAAACATAGGTAGCATTACTTATCATTATAAAGAAAATTGGAAACAACCTAAATGCCAACAATAGGAGATCTGCTAAATAAATTACAGTGTATTCTTTTAAGAGTTCTGATAGCTCTGGTGTAAAATCCTGATCCCAATTTTACTACTGAATATTATTTTATTTTGGAACATTATGGGTATACAAATGTTTTGATTACATGGATTGCTTTTGTACAGCTTGAGTTAAAGTTATGTGTGCCCATCACCCACACAGGGTACATTGCTCCTGTTAGATATGCTTTCACCCATCTCCTCCCCTCCCTTCCACTTTCTTGATTTCTGTTGAGTTTTACTTCCATTGGTGCACATTGAGTGCTGATCCTTCAGTTCCAATCTAATAGTGAGAACATGTAGTGTTTGTTTTTCTATTCTTGTGATACTTAGGTGAATGGTCTCCAGTTCCATCTAGATTATTGCAAAAGGTACTAATTTTTTATGGCTGAGTAGTACTCCTCTCAGGAGTCATATTTAGACTACTGGTCACTCTCTCTTTTATTCCTTAAAGACTGTAATCATTAGTAATAACTGCTTTGCTTCCATAATCTCCATTTCAAACATCCTAATCTCTTTAGGTACATTTCTTCTGTAATTAATTCATTGAGAGGGTTTTTAAATTTTTATTTTATTCTTTTTTATTTTTTTTTTTAGTTTTTTTAAATTAAATCATAGCTGTGTACATTAATGCAGTCATAGGGTACAGTGTGCTGGTTCTATATACAATCTGAAATATTTTCATCAAACTGGTTAACATAGCCTTCATGTCATTTTCTTAGTTATTGTGTTAAGACATTTATATTCTACATTTAGAAAGATTCACACATACCCTTATAAGATGAACCATAGGTGTGGTCCTACCAATCACCCTCCCTCCACCCATCCTCCCCTCTCCCTTCCCCTCCTTTTCCCCTTTCCTCATATTCTTGAGCTATAATTGGGTTATAGCTTTCATATGAAAGCTATAAATTAGTTTCATAGTTGGGCTGAGGGGTTTTTTTAATCATGAAAAATCAATGAAACTGATCAGGTTCTTGGTTCTTCTTTAATGTGATGCTTTATATTAATAATTCAATTTCCTCACTTGTTATTGGTCTGTTCAGATTTTCTATTTATTCATGATTCACTGTTGGTAGATGGTATATGTCTAGGATTTTATCCATTCTTCTAAGTTATGCAGTTTGTTAGCATATAATTGTTAATAGTAGTCTCTGATGATCTTTCATATTTCTGTAGTATCAATTGTCATGTCTCCTCTTTCATTTCTGATTTTATTTGAGGGTTCTCTCTTAATTAGTCTAGCTAAAGATTTGCAGATTTTATCTTTCCAAAATGTCAACTCTTAGATTTGTTGATTATTTTGTACTGTCTTCCTAGTCTTTTCATTTATTTATTCTCTGATCTTTATTACTTCCTTCCTTATACTAACTTAGGGTTTAGTTTGTTCTCTTTTTTCTAGGTCCTTGAGATATATTAGAGGGACCAACCAACCTTCCTTCCTTCTTTCCTTCCTTCCTTCCTTCCTTCCTTCCTTCCTTCCTTCCGCCTTTCCTTCCTTCCTTCTTCCTTCTTTCTCTGTTCTCTTTTTGTTCCTTTCTCTGGTGGAATATAGACAAGAGTGACCCATCCTTTATCGTGCTGATGAAAACAGTGCCCCAGAGATGAAAAGCAACAAGTTGGAAGGAACCTAAAGCCTCCAATGAGTAAAGGAGGAGAATCCACATCAGCCTGTTAGCTCATTTAAACCACTGTTGTTTTGTGTACTTGTTAACATTGACGCATTTGAACTTTTGCACTGTAACTAACATAAAGGAGCTAGATACTGCCAGACAAAATGAGTACAAAGCAGCTTACCTTGGTTACTTCGTTAAAATATTTAGACATATCATTAGAAAAGCAATACATAGGTTACAAATTTATAAAAGTTACATAAAAGAGAAAAGTCCATTGTAATCCTACTACTTGGAGATAACCACTATTAATATTTTGCTTAAAACATTAAATTTTAACCTCCTTTTATTTCTCACTTGATTATATAATGTCAGATATAATAATTCAGGGAAAGCAATATCAAGTTAGATAGAGTGATTCGTTTTATACCAAAAAAGGTATAATCTATGATGAAAACAAAATAATTTCCTATAGTAGATAGTCAAATCTCAAAATATATAATGAAAGCTATTAAAGATACAGGAATATAGGAAAATAATATTTCAGGGAGCAGGGAAAGAATAGAAATTGGCTAAAGGATTGGGTGGAATAAAAGCTTAGAAGATATAGCTTAGAAGACAATAAATTCCAGATGGATGTTTTTACAAATTAAGGAAAAATATAAAACTGTAAAAGTAATTGCGGCTTGGTACCTGTAGCTCAGTGAGTAGGGTGCCAGCCACATACACTGAAGCTGGCAGGTTCAAGCCCAGCCCAGGCCTGCTAAACAATGACCACTGCACTCAAAAAATAGCCAGGCATTGTGATGGGCACCTGTAGTCCCAGCTACTTGGAAAGCTGAGGCAAGAGAATCGCTTAAGCCCAAGAGTTTGAGGTTGCTGTGAGCTGTGATGCCACAGCACTCTACCGAGGATGACATAGTGAGACTCTGTCTCAAAAAAAAGTAATTGTGATGTATTTGGGTTGAAACCCAATACTTTTTCATTCATCTGCCTTGTATGAACAAGAGCACACAAGTGGGTAGCCTGTAGCAAAAGCTGAATAATGCTTAAAACCCACCAAAGTTTTCTCATCATACTTAGAAAAATAACCAAGTCCTAACCATGCCCCTCAAAGCCCCGGGTTCTTCTCTGGCCTCATTTCCTACGCTTCCTACCTCCGTCTGAGGAAGCCCAGCTCCAGCCACACTGGCCTCCTCGCCGTTTCTCACAGGAACACGCTCCAATTTAGGGCTTTGACTCCTGCAATGTTCTAATTTCCTTCCGTTTTCTGCTAGGACATCACTGCCTCAGAGAAGTGCAGTCTACCATCCCATGTGACATAGCACGCCCTCTTTCTTCCCTTATCCTTTTTTAAAAAATAATTTATCACTATCTGACTCTGTATTACGTGTTTACTGTTTTTATGTCATTCTCTAGAACGTAAGTGTGAGAGAAGCAAGGACTTTGGCTTTCTTACTACTAAATTCCAAATGCCTGAAACAGTGGCTGGCATATAGCTCAGCTCTTACCAAAATGTATGCCGAATGAATGAACAAATGAATCAATGGATTTGTCTTTAAACTGATTTTGTTGATTCTTAATTCTTTAATCAATAGAACCGCACCTAACCAACCAAACCTTAAATATCCATGCAGTTGAATACAATTTGAGGATGTTTACAACTTTCAGAAGTAGATGTAGTTTAACAAGCATAAACCCATGTTATTAGGGTTTCCCGGGTAATATTCTCTTTGCAAAATGGTTCATGTGTTTCAGGTTGATATATCATGGGTGATGCAACATATCTGGGTTTCCACATGGTACGTCAGTCTCTGAGGGATCAATTAGGTAAACATGAAAAGAAAGAGTTTTCTCTAGAGGGAGCAACATATACAGAAACAACCACAAGAAAATGTTAAAGAACATAACCTCTAATCTTAGATCTTTTTCTGGTACATTCTTCTCTGATAATTCATGCAGCAATATTTGATTTAATTCATTTATATCATTTGCATATTTGTTCAGGTATTTCGAGAAGATGAAATGTTATAAAACTTTGCAAAGGTTTGAAATAAATAATTAGATGCTCTGAGTCTATTGAGCATCTTTGTAGTGAAATAGTAAAGAAAAACACCAGTCCATGTGCACAATGGGCCAATGTAACTTTTCTGCCTGTAAGAAGAGGTTTCAGGTGAGATCCTAAGTGCCAATGATCCTTGCTTCTAACAGCAGAAATCCAAGGCACCATGTTCCAGTAGAAATGAAAACCAAGCCACATCTGTAATTTTTTTTTTTCAGTTTTTGGCTGGGGCTGGATTTGAACCAGCCACCTCCAGCATATGGGGCCAGTGCCATACTCCTTTGAGCCATAGGCACCACCCGCACATCTGTAATTTTAATTTTTCTAGTAGCCACATTTTAAAAAGTAAAAGGAAACAAATGAAAGTAATTTAAATGATATATTTCACTTCACCTGAGATATCCAAAATTTTATTTAGGCATAGAAATAACCAATGGGACATCTTATTCTTTTTTTGTACTACATATTATAAATCCTTCATTTATTTTTTATTTTATTTTATTTTTATTTTTTTATTTTTGAGACGGAGCCTCAAGCTATCCCCCTGGGTAGAGTGCCATGGCATCACACTCACAGCAACCTCCAACTTCTGGGCTCAAGCGAGTCTCTTGCCTCAGCCTCCCAAATAGCTGGGACCACAGGCATCCGCCACAACGCCTGGCCATTTTTTGGTTGCAGCCATCATTGTTGTTTGGCGGGCCCGGGCTGGGGATTCGAACCCGCCACCTTAGGTGTATGTGGCTGGCGCCTTAGCCGCTTGAACCACAGGCGCCGAGCCTAAATCCTTCATTTATATTACACTTACAGCATATCTTGATTCAGATGCTTTTTTTTTTAAA